GACATGGGGAGAAAGGCACTCTGGGAAGGGAAGTCCGTACGGAACCACCCGGAAGCGGCGGCGGGACCGGGAGATCGGGACCGGGATCGGGAGGATCAGGATCGGGATCGGGATTAAGGGGGGCCCGGACCCCTCCAGGCTCGGCCGGGGATGTTCCACGGGATCGCGGGCCCGGCTGGGATGGGCGGTGAGAACCGGGGAAGGGTCCCGGAGGTCCCGGTGGGGCTGTCCGGGAGGGTCCCGGTGCTCCCAGCCCGCTCTAACGCCGCTCCCGCTTCCCTTCGCAGCCCCCGGGAACAAACCGGAGCTGTACGAGGTGAGTGGGACCCACTCCCCGAATCGAGGCCGGTCCTGGGGTCGCCCTCCGTGACCGACCCCCCCGTGTCCCCCCGTGACCGACCCCCGTGTCCCCCCGCAGGAGGTGAAGCTCTACAAGAACGCCCGGGAGAGGGAGAAGTGAGTGATGAGCGTGGGGGGTCCCGGGATTTTGGGGGGGAAGATCCCCCGTCCCTCCCCCGAGCCCGGGGAGAGCAGAGGGGCCAGGGAGGGAGGGAGGGTTTGGGGCAGCGGGGGTGGCACCAGACCCCCTTCTCCATTGGGGGCATTCCTGGGACCCCCTTCCCCATCAACAGCACCCCCTGTGTCCATCCCAGTCCCCTCCTGGGACCCCTTTCTCCATCACCCCCTGTTCTCCATCCTCTTCCCTTCTCTCCATTGTGGCTCGCCCTGGTCCCCTCTTTCCCATCCTGGTCCTTCCCAGGATCCCGTTATCTCACCCTGCTCCTTCCTGGGACCCCGCTGTCCATCCTGGTCCTCCCTTCTCCATCGTGGCCATTCCTGGGACATTGTTGTCCCTCACTGTCCCTCCTTCTCCATCCCGGTCCCTCTGGAGTCCTGCTGTCCATCACCATCCCCCAGTGTTCCCTCCTGGGATGTTCTTCATCCCGGGACAGCGTTCTCCGTCGCTGTCCCCTCCTCTGCATTGTGTGCCCTCCTGGAACACCCCTGTCCATCCTGGAACACCCCTGTCCACCCCTGTCCCTCCTGGAACACCCCTGTCCCTCCTGGGGCACCCCTGTCCCTCCTGGGGCACCCCTGTCCATCCTGGGGCACCCGTGTCCATCCTGGGGCACCCCTGTCCATCCTGGGGCACCCCTGTCCATCCTGATCCCTCCTGGGACACCCCTGTCCATCCTGGGACACCCCTGTCCATCCCTGTCCCTCCTGGAACACCCCTCTCCCTCCTGGGGCACCCCTGTCCCTCCTGGGGCACCCCTGTCCATCCTGGAACACCCCTGTCCATCCTGGGGCACCCCTGTCCATCCTTGGACACCCCTGCCCCTCTTGGGACACCCCTGTCCATCCTGACCCCAGGTATGACAACATGGCCGAGCTGTTTGCGGTGGTGAAGACGCTGCAGGCGCTGGAGAAGGCCTACATCAAGGACTGCGTGTCCCCCAACGAGTGAGGGATGGGATACAGGGATACAGGGATGGGATACAGGGATGGGATACAGGGATGGGATACAGGGATGGGATGGCATGGGATTGAGGATGGGATGGGATGGGATTGAGGATGGGATGGGATTGAGGATGGGATGGGATTGAGGATGGGATGGGATTGAGGATGGGAAGGGATGGGATGGGATGGGATGGGATGGGATGGGATGGGATGGGATGGGATGGGATGGGATGGGATGGGATGGGATGGGATGGGATGGGGATGGGATGGGATAATGGGATGGGATGGGATGGACAGGGACCCACCCTGTGCCCCCATCCTCACTTCAGACCCTGGACTGTGTGTCTCCCAATGAGTCAGTCTGTGCCCCTGGAACACCCCAGATCCCTGGGATGGGCAGGAACACCCCAGATCCCTGGGATAAGCAGGAACACCCCAGATGGGCAGGAACACCCCAGATCCCTGGGATGGGCAGTAACACCCCAGATCCCTGGGATAAGCAGGAACACCCCAGATCCCTGGGATGGCCTGGAACACCCCAGACCCCCGTGCCCCCCAAATCCCCCACCCCAGGTACACGGCCGCCTGCTCCCGCCTGCTGGTGCAGTTCAAGGCGGCGCTGAAGCAGGTCCAGGGCTCCGAGATCAGCTCCATCGACGACTTCTGCCGCAAGTTCCGGGTGAGCCGCCGCCCCGCAGCCCCCTGGAATTCCGGGCCCGGAGGCCTCCGTGTCCCACGGGTGTCCCCTCCCGCAGCTGGACTGCCCCCTGGCCATGGAGAGGATCAAGGAGGACAGACCCATCACCATCAAGGACGACAAGGGCAACCTCAACCGCTGCATCGCCGACATCGTCTCCGTACGGCCCCAGGGGCTCCGGGGGG